GCATGTTCATCCAAATATACCTTCATTTTCCATCACCGGAAAATACTTTTAGCACAATTACTAAGTTTGTAGAACGCGTTTCGTTTGTTTTTATTTCAGTTCCTACGAAGAAGCCGTTGTGATGATCTGCAAAGTTGTGTCACGTGTTATTGTGTCCAATGCCATTAAAAATAAGGATATAATTAATAGAAAGGGTTAATAATAAACATCAAACGCAACGAACTTGCTCATTCAAGCTCATTAGCAAAAATCTATTGCCAATGCAGACGACAGTTGAGTGTAGTTGTCAGAGAATTCATTCAATTTCACTCAATCATTCGGCTTTCTGGTTTACTTTAGTAAAAATCACCAAAACCACTTTCAGAGTCCACGGTTTTATTACATATTACTATTGAGAAATCTATGTAAAAATGCCAAATGACCCTAATATGAATACGCTGGTATCTTTTCGACGCCATCTCAAACCCATAATAGAAGTTGGAAAAATTTTCCAAAGTTACATTAAACTGCATGTAGCTGTCCTAGACCGAATCTCAAATAGGTAGTTGCAGTGCTTCACGTTCAAACATGTGAGCTATCCGAATTTAAAAAAACGATGCGAAGAACCATCCTATTACAATTTGTTTGCAAATTGTTTAAAGGGTAAAAAGGATTTCAGTGCTTTGCAAAATATATTATGAGTCTCTTGTAAGAATAAGCAGGTAATCAAAAAGGCTTAACAATCCACATATAAAAAAAATAAATCCAGTTACCACAGCCCGATTATATTAACAATGAAAATCGCCGCACTGATTACTTGGCGTCAATAGGGATTCAATTGCATTCATGCGCGACATTTTTAACCAAGCTGATGCGGCAAACTTCTACTGCCATTGAGTCTTGCTGCCTTGTAAGAATTAATTAGATTAATTTTAACGTTTAATGTCAGACAGAATTAACCTGGCATCGATTTCCAGTGCATGTCTGGTTAAAAAGGATGATGGGAATGAGATTTACTTAAGGTAGGGGTCTCTATCACTTTAATTAGACGTTCTGTTTTAATCTGCATAAATCAGGTGTTTAAATAAAATGGTTCAGAGTGACCAGGAACCAACCCAGTAAAATGCATTTTGCAGAAATGCCAATTTTGTTCAACCCTAAAAGTGGACAATTGAAGATCGTGTACCGGCTTCTTGCATTTCAAGCCCTCTTATTTAACTAGCATCATTTTGAAAAAAGTCCAGTCACACAGGATCGAATAAATGGATTGTGTTTAACTCACAGTTAATGTAAGTCAGCATCACAATGTTTGTTTGTAATTTTTAATGAAAAGGTCTTCGAGCTTAAAGGATATGCCGTTATACCCGATTTAGCCAGATTATCTTAAGTCCTATTTTAACGCAGTTACGTTATATAGTATCCTCCTTTGTGCGATTATAACAACGAGATATATTTTACCAGGTTCAAATCGTGACATAGGATATCTGTAAATTAAAAAAGGAACCTCTAACTGCTTGATACGCTTGGCTAAAGTGCTATAGAAGTAACTTAATTTTCCCGAAAAAAGCAAATCAAAGCATAGCAGTCTATCAGAATTAATTGGCATACACGACAATTTTTTTCACAAAAGGTTATATTAGCTCTAATAAGATGCCATGCACTTATGCATATTTTAAACTAACACATGTCAGAAATGATGAAATTTACTTTTATGAATGTTAAAAATTCGGCAAAATGATCAATGACATAGTAACATATTTTGTCGAAAAACTCGAAAACCGATGGGACTTTGAGGCCACTGAACGTTTTTCGAGTAAAGTAGAAAACGTTTAAACGCATAGTTCAGAATTTAAACTAACATCAAACAAAAAACGCATTTCAATAAACATAAGAAACGCTTTTCAGCTTCTGCAGCAATTTTAATGCAGAGAAGTACAGTGGAAAAAAAAAATTTAAAGGCCCGTTTATCGACTCAACTTTTCTGAAGACTTACACGAAGGATTTTTTAATGGGGCCCAAAACCCCAATGTTAACACAACATTTAATGTTTTAAGTAATTTGGTTAATTTTGCTTCTAGAAAAATTTGACATTATCACGTGGGTTGTGATTTACCCCGCCAGTTGCAATACTAATTCACGTTTTAAGAGGATGAATTATTCTACAACGATTTGCCTAGCAGGATAAAATTAACATCATAAATGTCAACTATTGTGGCTTAAATTGCCGGAAAAACAACGTTGACAAAGCTACGCCAGTAGAAGCGCCTCTAATAATTTACAAAAGGTTGCTAGTACTGTAGAGTGCCTATTTTTTACGAGGGGGCTGAACCACCATGGTAATCACCTGTTTCGAAACCCGTGTAGACTCTTCAAGAATCACAAGAAGTATTTTGCTGCTCTAAAAGAATGTTTTGATTTTCAGAACTTCGTGAAACATAAGGATTGTTCATGTAATATTTATAATGCCTAGGTGGCTTTGAATGCTGTCTAAATCTACTAGAACGAACAAAATTGATTAGCTCTGATATCGCTACCGAAAAACCGAAAATGAGAAGATACCTATTTCGTATTATTAGAGATATTCATCAGCATTGGCACAAATTCCGAAAGACTTTAAATGCAGAGATTGTAGTCTTTGCTGTTGAATCTCGAAAAAAATATTTTTATTACTTTTGAAGATAGAATTAGCACTCGACATTTCTCACACAAACAATCGATCGTGATAAGCCACCAGTTGTGAACTTTCCTCAAGGTATTATTGCTGCTTTGTGAGAAATTTCTCAAAATTGATTGCTTAAAAGTTTACAGTTACAAGATCATTAAGTACAATTATAATGCGCATTGAACAGAACATGCGCATGACTCACGGATATAATGGAGATTGTGAGTAATAAAGGATGCACCTGGAGTTCGTACTACGTATCAAGGAAAAATATTCCCAGGAACCCTAATGAGCATTTCCTCTGAGAAAGCCAAAATTCCAAGCTTGGTATCACGAAAGGTAAGGCGTCACGAGTAATACAGCATTTATTTTGCATAAGAATCAAACAGACAAAACTAAAATAATGAAATGAAAAGAATGATTTTATGAGGAAAACGTCCCATGAAAAAAACAAGACCGGTTTGTTGCCTACTACCACCACTACTTCCGGTCAACCAACTGCCATTCCTGTTCCTGCTTTAAGCCTTTTCCATAATGTATTAGCCTTTGCTTGAAGGCATAAATTTAAGATACCACACAGAAATAATTTAAACTGCCATGCCCTTAAGAGCCATTCGAACTTTGATATCCACAAACTAACCTGAGCTTTTAGGATAATTAGTTTAATAATCTTCTGTAGATTACAGACACTGCAGGCGTAGGTGAAAGAATACCTTAAGTAACCAATTTTTTGTTCTGGAAAAGTCAGTCTAGTTTTAACATCAAAGCAACTTTCGTTTGTCAAATTAATTTATTGTAGAACTACAAAGGACAAAACTTGCATTCTGAGCTACCAAATGCAAGCATGGTAATGGGAAACTACGACTCTGTCTTACAGGAAAAGCATTATACGACATTTTCCCAAGAGTTTTCACCCACAATAAAGTTGATTATATATTTTAATACACTTTTTTTTAAATTTTAAATAATTCAACATTTCTCCCTCTAATACTAATGTGTCATTTTTGCATACTTTAAATTAATGAAGTCAACATAAGCCATTATTCTGGTTTTACTTGTAACGTTAGACACTACTGTATTTTGAATACACCTTAACCTTCGTAACTTTAGAATAAATATTGAAAAAGTTATGATCTATATTTGGCTTCCACAATCTTTAGGAATGGCCACATGTATTCCACTACAACTCACAGCAACAGTCTAGCCATGCATCGTTTAATTCTGTATTACAAGTTAAATTATCCAAGTAAAAAATGAAACGCCAGAATTTTTTGCTAATTCAAATAAGGCTTTAAAAAGGTGTGTGGGAATTTTGAAACCTACATTCTGCATGGGTTGTGCCAAATAAGACCAGGAAACAAGACCACAAATCATTCAAGCTAAACTTGTACCGTTACCTAAAAAATATAAATCAAGATTTTTATCAGATAAACACTTATTATCAGATCCAAACTAAATCTGCAAACATTTTGACCCTCGAAAGTCCAGGATTTCAATGTAGTTTGCCACAGATGTGAAAGTTTTGCCTTTTTTATTTACACATCTATCAACAACTTGTTGATAAGTTATGGAATACCAGTCCTTGGATCAGCAGAAATCACTACGTGATCATTTTCTTGAATGTTTACCAAGGTGAGATGCATGACCGTTAAATTAAAAAAAGGTTATTTGACTTCAAAAAAATAAACCATCTGTGATACGATATTGCAATGGCAAAATATCTGGTCAGGAATGTTGGGGTGATATAAAAATGGAATAACTGTGTATTGCATGAATATCCAGCATAGCTTAAATTGTAGCAGGCAGATTACTAATTATGCCGACTTGTTCCGGACACGAAGGTGATAAATAGTCAGTAATAACCAAAAGAACGAGCTTGCAGTTATTCTAAACCAAAACTTTCCATCAAGTAGTTGCCTTTCTGTGGAAGTCAATTTCTTAGCTCACTAAGTAACAGCGATTTCCCGTTTACCGAACATAACAAAGCCCTTGAGTGAACACATCTTAAATATGTTTTTAAGTCTGATGGTTGTAACTCGCATCAATCCAAAAATGCAAATGCACCACAGCCAGTCACAAAATTGGGCATTATGTGATGAATGTGGCTATGAAGTCCTGAAAAGTGTGCAGACAGTTCCATTGCAAATGTGGGCCCAAGGAAAAACAGGATACATCTGACTAACTAATTGTGGTACTTTATCAGTCTTACATTTTGAAAGCATATTCAAACAAAGCCATTCAAAATTTCGCATCAGTCTTTTTCAATCTGAAATGCTATGCAGTTACTTATTTAGAATTTAATTATATTGTAAACGATAATTTCTTATCAAGGCATTTAGGAACCCGTCGGAGCTTAATTTCAAGGTTTCCTTAATTCGAAATTCGCGTACCTGGCAAAAGTCGTATAGAGGATGACAACAACAACAGCTAGTAGAAAGCACACTCCCGAAGTGATAAATATAATATTGAGTACGTTCCGAAGCCTAGGCATTTTTATGTCCTCCAATTGACGAGCATCCTCACTGCTCTCCATTATTCTCCGATCTTCTAATAAGGCAACAAAACGCTCAAGGATGCTGCTCCTTCGCGGTCCCTTGAAAATTTTCTTTTTCGGTGGTGGTTGATCTGCTTCCAGCTCATCCTCAACACTTCCGAAATTTTCTTCCCTAGCTGTACTCTCATTTCCCTTGGTGGGTATTGGCTGATAGTTGTAAAGGGACAAATCTAGCGTACCACCAGGTGCGTGGACAAGTATGGAATTCGGAGAAACTGTGTGGCTCCCGGTTGTCCGAATTTCACCTATAGCTGGAAGCAAGGGACGTGCAAAGCCAAAGTGCGTATCCTCTGCCATGGATGGCACCAAAAATTGTCACTTGTCACAGCGGCATTGCAGAGGCGGTGTGGAATCCCACGTATTCATCTGGTCCAAGCTAGTGCGTTTGCGTGATTCGGTCAGGTCCGCAAGATTATTGGCTACTGACTGTCTGACTGCCTGCATTGACCATCGACGAATGGGCAAAAGGAAATACTCTCGCGAGCGTGCGTTTCGGCGTTCTCACATCGCCATTTCATGTTGCTTGTGCGTGATTGTGGGCTGGCTTGAGCAGTCAAATAGGCAATCCCAGTGGTAAGGTTTTGGCTCTCAAGGGGATACGTGTGAGGATATTTCACGGCTGTGTCTGTGTCTGTGACAGGACCCACACTAACAAGGCTACCAGAGAGTTTTATCAACTCATTACAATGATTTCGTTTCGATCCTCATTCACGCTTTGTTAATCAGAACCTCTTAATGAACAAACTGTCTGTAACAATTTTCGGATAGGTCAGCATTGAGCTTGGCACAAACATTCTTATTATTTAAAAGCAATGGAAGTTCATAATGCAGTGCTGCTATATTGACTTTGTGGCATAAGCTGATTCAGCAGTCGTGGTGCCATGCGCCAGGTCTGTTTGTTTTAAATTAACTTCTGATGAATTCTGTTAGCGAAAACAAGTCGGTAATTCTGTGTCAATAATTATTTCACCCACAAGCTTCACGATTTTACCAAGTTATTAATGACACTTTTATTTGGAATTATAAAATACTTGAATGTGGTTAGCTGCTCATGCCATACCTAACACCGCGCTTGTGCGCAGGCACTAACTTTACCGAAGATCACAAGTTTTATTTGCATTTGAGTACTGCAAAGTCAATGATCATTTGTTAATTGTGTATCCTCCACAGTGCCAATCACATTACAAGCCTTTGTGATTGGCATGTTAAGCTTCGTGTTTAAACATCTAATTACTTCCAGTATTTTCTTAAATATTTATAATGTGTACAAACATATTTTGGTAGAACACTTTTTTTCTTGAATACCATCGGATTCCTTGTAAAAGGTGTTTACTTCGGAAGACTGAGTCAACTGAGCTACAATTTAGGAGGCAGATTAAAGTGCATCGAATTCATATGCCTTGGTAAAATCCGTAGTGTGTTGTTTATTGGGCTTTATTTCCAGAGAAATTAAAGGTAAATTAGACCGATGGATCTGAATTTGAGACTTAGCTGGACTGTGTAAGCATCAACACTGCATTGAGACAGGTCTGGTGGCTTCGATCTGATCAGCTTGTATTCTGAGCAAGTTTTCTACTATGAAGTTAAATTTGGTACTTGCATTTAAGAAATGGTCGTCTTTCCATTAATGTGAACCACATGAACAGTACGCTAACCAACTTGGCATCATTAAATCGAACATTTTTGCTTTAAAACTTAAATTACTATTTCCTTTTTAAAAAAACCGATCAAGTTATCGAAAAGAAATTTTATTTTCTCGCTGTTGTACATCATTATTTTAACGCCTTTTAAAATCGTTTTGGCCCATTTAACATGCATTCGCCTGATATTTTGAAATAACATAATATGCCTCAGAAACAGATAAGGGCCTCACTTAAAAGGGGTAGGCACTGCGATTTACCTGAAAATGTTTTATTAGTGCTGTATCCCCCAGCCATCTTCAATGTGTGTTTGCCATACTCTAGTTTTTTTCTCTTTATTTGAGGATTAATAAAGCGCACTGCACTAGATCACCTCAAACTTAACTTTTTCATTCGCAGAATCCATCAAAATGGTGGGATTAGTTTACTTTTTACCTTGGAATTGTTTTATATATCAGGCGCATCCTTCAAAAACCGTCTCTGGGTTCTGTGTCCATTCTACTAAAACTGCAACCTCAGTAGGATACGACCCCTCTTCTAGGTTATAACGTGGTTATTTAAGATATTAACAACAAAAGTTGGCACATTCAATAAAGGGACAGTAAATCAAAGTGTGCAACTCTTACGCGGCCAAACTGAGTATATTTTGTTATACTACCGCCTATAATTTTTTCTTAAATGATTTAAGATCCCATTGTGATTGTTCAAAAGAGAAGACTTTCTACAGCTTCGTTGGGTTCAAACTGAAATCAGTCGTATGTAACCACACGACGGTTTTACACATTAAATGTCTCGGCTATAGAATTAAAGTATATAACCCTTGAAGAAGGCTGTCAAAAGTACTTAGACAGTGTTTTCACAATCCAAACTGATACGTTTATTCTCCACCGATAGAATCAAAGTGTCCACCACATCTGGATAATTTTAAAGATGTATATGACACGCGGCAAACATCAAAAGATGGAGCAGCTATGACGCAAATTCGTAAAAAGTGGGGGCGGCCGTAACTTAAATATATCATTTAACATTTTATTATTGTAGCCAACAAGGAATTCAGCAAATGATTCACAAACTATGATTTGTAGAACCGAGCTAAAATGCATCCTTTGGGATTTGTGGGTGAGGTACAAAGTTTAAATAGTGCTTTTAATTAGCTAGCACGTATATGGTCCAAGAACATAAACATCATTGAAAGAAAGCAATGTCAGACCACCAGTCAGGTATCAACTCTCTGGTCGCACGCCTTACTTTATTAGCATAAATGGCGATTCTTATAAAAAGAAACTATGAGGTAAACCAAAATGCTACAGTTGCAACAATAACAGGTATTACGATAGGTCGATTTGAGTCGACGCGTTCAAGAGTAACCTAATCTTTTGTTAAAACTTCGCCTCTCTTCTTTGTAACGTAATTTTAAGAATATCTGTTGATTTGACAGGTATAAAATGTAACAGTTTCTGGTATTGCCTTCGTTTTGAATGTTACTCTCAATCATTAACAATTGGCCACTTTTCGGAAATTTCTCGCAATTTTTTTGATGTCACACAATCATGTAATTAGAACAATAATTTTATTCACGAACGTAATAAACCTTGCTAGTTTCCATGAGGTGGAAACTGTCAGTGACATGCTCTTATTTAGATTCATTCAATACATCTTTTCCAGAATTTTATTCTTATAAATTCTAAGAAAATACTCCAAAATGTCATTGGTATACATTCAAGTGTAAAAATGTTTCAAAATATTCAATAGCTGCATTTTTTTATTGATAACTGACGTATGATTAATTCACCGAATGTGTCTTAATTCAACTCTGCTTAAGACTGACCTACATGTTTTCATTAAAGAAATTTGGAACGGTAAACATCTATAGATTTTTATCTTTTGAGTTTATACAAAACTACTGCTATTAATCTAATTATCTCTTACATTTTTGAGTTCCGAATTTAGTGCTGCACGGTGAGTTAGAAACTAAAATCCCCATGATTCAAGGATATTTAAATCAAGTAGAGTCCAATATAAGTATGTCCACTAAATCTTCAATGAGCTAGCTATAAAACTGTCAAAGCGTTGGTATCGTGGGTAGACCGGCATTTTATTGCTTCCCAAGGATGTTTGCCTAAATGGAATTGCCTTTCCTTTGATCTCAGTTGCTTTGAATAATATTTAAGCTAAATGGAAAACATTGTACAATTAACAAATTCACATATTTTTAGAACTTGTCGATGTGGTATTAAATCAAGGAATTCCATCCCTATTCATAAGAAAGCCTCCAAGCCAAAATTCAATGGTATTCAACTCAATAAGTGATAAAAACTGCTAGGGAACTTAAAAACATATCATCAATAACAAGCAACATAAAGGCTAATGACACTCAAATTTTATCATGGCTTGCCCCAACCAGCATTGTTGTGAACGATTCAGGCAAGTAAAAAAATAAAATAATCTATTGGATGTCTGATAGGACCACAATTTTTACCTGTTAATTACAAAAAATTTTAATCCTATAACAAAATAAGCTCATTTAACAGAACTAAAATTTGAAAGACAGAAATTATAAATTCTGTTTTGTGTATCACAGGATCAACAAATTCTAAAGGATATGATCGTTTTGTAATGCAACGTTTGATGTGATTGTTGCACATAATTTATTAGCAAGAAAAGTTTAAATCCTGCATTGTAAGATTTGTTTCAAAGTGGCAATTTTTCTCCATTGTCTTTGGAACAAAAAAAGACCGTCTGTAATTAATTGTTCCTAAATCTACTTTTTTTAAATTACCTCGAATCCAGACATAACCTTTTGTTTCCTTTTTTACTCCATACGATCTTGTGTATTGCAATAAGCATGCCTTTCGTCGCTTTTTATAAAAAAATGCACTGACACATCTGTTTATAATTAACCTGCTTATGGATATTTTGAAAGGTTTAAAGAAGTTCGATCTGGATCGACAGCTCTAAAAATCCACTCTTCACACAGCATTGGTAACTCAATGGGGACCGCTTTTGCTTTAAGCACAAATAGTTACTTTTAAGTAGCAAATATTGGGCCGCAATCATGCATATTTTGTGGAATTGTATATATGAGGTGTAAAACTTGTAGGCAGTGGAGTTTTTCGGAAGAATTTACTATTGTCTTGAATTGTTTAGTTGTTGAATGCCTGAAGTGTTGAACGACATCCGTAAACTTCACAGTGACGGGTACATTTATGGCGCAACAAGTTTGGAAGGACGTCGGTTTAAGTAAATGATGAGCAAAATTTTTTTTAATGAACACTACCATCCGTATCTAATTTTGCATTACATTTCGAATTCTTAATGCCTTAAAACTTCAAGTAATTTCTTGCCTCTAGAAAATTCCCTTATTGGAGACCGAACACATTATGCAAAATCAAAACACAAAGAGGCCTTGTAGAGCGCAGGCTGGCATTTTAAAACGACCGTTAATATTCTTTAAAAATTTCACTTTTCTAATTTATTGAATGCAACTAATTTTCTCTTCATATTTTTGGCTTTCTTCAACCCAGAAAGAACCAAGAAAGAAGCAAGCTTTAGTGTTTTTACCATGTTGTGAATATTTTTTTAAATCAAAAGTCTTGCTTAGCCTTATTCGCCAATTGACTGGTCCTACAGATAAAACCAGAAATTATATAAAGATTC